GAAGGTAAAAATCATACAAAAAGAGAAATAATCTTACTATTCAGCTAACAAACACCTCAAATTAATTTAAACTAAAATAATTTTAAATCTCCAGTCTTAATCTGACAGTTTGTTCTGTTTGATTACACCACATTTTATTTCCCTGAAAGAGCATCACCAGCAATGTCACATTTCCCACTGTTCTTCAAGAGCTTCATGTTGTGATTTCCAGGCTGTGCTAGAATAAATAGCGCAGCTTGGAAACTGAAGCAGCATGCAAGACTGATCATTTGCTCAAACCCAACAGTTTTCAAGTAAATGAATGGGATGTAATTGCATTTCAGCTTCAGCTTGAAAATGTAACCCTGTAACATTAGGATGTAGCCTTCCTGTTGAGTTTATTATTTACTCAATGCCACTTGCCTATTAGAGACTATTCTGGGTCACTGCACTATTTGTATATGGATAGTAGCTCATGCACATATAGTTTGTAGTCCTGCATGGATCACTCCAGTGGTGTATTCTGACCTCTTATAACAAAGACATCCTTGTGTTCATTTCAGGTATTTGTTTACCTCATCTGAAGTTTGCTCTATGACCTTGGGGCCAAATCCTCCATGATTCACTGTGTGCAAGGGCTCCATAACTACCTCATGACCCATGAGGTCTCTAAAGAAGCCAACCCCAACCAGAAGAACTGCCTGCATAGGTTCAACAGACAGATCTGAGGTTTGGTTTCTGCCAATATATGCCAAAATTCTAATTGCTCCAGAAAGAACCACTGACAACAGAATATCTCGCAAACCAAATAAAATCTACCCTCATATCTATACTTGTTTCCATGGAAATATGCAGTGACAAGGTTTTGTCCCCCCTCATTTTTTTCTAGTCAGACTACCGTATTTTTGTTCAAACAGCCCTGGTAACTAACTAGGTTTACCCAAATACAAAACTACTGCAGATGTGCCAAACTTGCACAAAGTCAAATAGAGAGCTGGTCAGCATGACTGCTGCCAGTCCTCAACAGAGGGCAGAAAACTCTCTGCAGATCCTTCAGCCAGGGACCAACAAAATATTTTCATTACTTAGGACTAACTGGTTTCAGTGAGACAGCAAACAGCTCACACCATGGAGTTTCCCAGCAAGATGCACACAAATAACAAACAAATCACCATCAGCACACTGGCCTTAGACTCCAGCTTTATATTAGAGTGAAAGATACAGTATCTGCAATGTAAGTCTGTCCCCAGCGGCTGCCAAACATTTTGCTTCTGGCAGTAGCCCTCTGCATCACCCCTCACCATATGTTACCATTCCCAGCTACCTCCTCACGCCCCATCTCTTCTCTGCTTTCCTGCTCTGGGCATCTGCCCCAGCCAGAAGCTCCATTTCCCTAGAGACTCCCATGAGGGTCAGCCACAGATGGCAACATTAGGCAAAGCCTCTGGGCTGTGAGCAGGGGGACGGTGCCTCAGCTTTGGGCAGTTACTTTGAAGTCTCTCAGGATGCTGTGCACTCACCACACCAGAACAGCCTGGCAGGGGGCAACAGAGGAGGGAGGTATTGCCATGTCTCCCCACAGGCAGTCTGTGGTGGCAAGATGAAAGCAAACGCCCATCCAGCCACCCATGGAGAAAGGGAAAGGCAAGCTGTGCCGGGACTGCAGGCAGAGCAGAAGCACAGAATGACAAAAACCAAAGGCAAAGTATGAGAAATGTAAAAAAGGAACCAACACTGAAATCTCACACAGGACTTTGCTTTTGTCAGGTTGTTAGACTGACATTGTGGCATGATGGGCTTTGGACCTTGGCTATCAGGCAAATCCAAAGTATAAAGTCAAATGGCATTTTATGCTCAGCATTATTAGATAGCAGGCTGTAAAATCACTCAGGTGGATGGGCTGCAGGACTGTAAACAAAATATTATGGCATGTGACAAGTGGCTGTTCAGAGGGAAAGAACCAGGGATACTGTGGCAATGGGGATCAGTAAAACTTAGACTGAGTGCCTCATTAAAGTTTTAAATTAGTGCTTACACCATCCAGCTGACAGAAGAAGGTTGTGCTGGAGAAGCACTGGTATGTCCTGGGAGAGGGGCAGGAGCTGCATCTGGGCAGGGAAGGGACATACTTGGGCAGGTGCTTGGTGCCTGTGTCCCAGAAGCAGCTAGGAAGAGAAGGGCAATATGCCTGGGAGATACCAGCAAAAATTGTGTCAGAGGCTTCCTTACTCTCCTGTCCCCAAGGCTGTCACTTTCCCCTTGCACAGGGCTCAGGAAGGTGCAGGAATATTCTGGTGCAAAACCAGGAAGGGTCTAAGGAAGAGGGAATAGGCTGAGAGTTGAGGTAGCTGCACAGTAGATCAGGGTCTCCCAACAGCAGTATAAAAAGCCTGAGACAGAGAGTAGAAATTGCAAAGTAGATGAAGATAGCATTCAACCTGGAAAACAAAGGCTATTTAGCAAGCAGGAAATAATTCATCAACTAACATTTCTCTTAGGCAGAGGCGAGAAGAGTTCTGGAAAGTCAAACTATATTGATCTAGCCTTAGGAGAGCTAGAAAATTAGAGAAGGGGACACAAAGAAATTAGCTAGAGAGGAGGAAGGCAAGGCACCAGCATCAGGAATGTGCACACAGCTACCCTGCCAGGCAATACAGAGCTGAGTGCTGGGCAGGAACCCACTGCTCAGTTCAGGGCTGTGGCTACCACGAGAGTCTGACACACTGGGAGGAGATAGAAGGCGATAGCTCCCTATGCAACTGGGGGGGATTGATTCCTGACGACATTATGTGTTCCCTGTCTCTGAGGAGACATGGAAACAGTTTACAAACATTTGTAAGGCATAGATGCAAGTGGGACGGAGTGCAAATTACTTAGAGAAGGCAAAACAAAAAGAAGGAAAACCGAAGCTGAAAGTAACTCAAAAGCTTTTACCAATGAGCCGAGCTGTAGCAGGTTGTGAAATAGCCCTCATGAAGAGAACGGCGAAGTACCCAGGTATGGGCAGTTTTAAAGTTAGATGGGAAGAAAGGAAATAATACATGAGCAATGGAAGGCATACAGAAGAATCTGTTGAAGTGATACAAAATTTTTTCCCACTCAAACTGTAGTTCCAGTTTTCCACTGCCCCACATCTCTTGCTATCATTAGTAGTGATGCAAAATTGGAAATGTTTATTAAAGCATAATGTTATAGCACTGCTCCATCTGAGCACACAGATTTCTAGACATATCTAGCCAACAGAAAATTAGGCTTTATAATTGTGTCTGGGAAAATGACTCACGAGCAGCGATCCACTTAAACTCCTCCAATGATCTCCTCCTTCCCCATCCCAAAACTCCTTTAGTCTTGATGAGATAGGGATATGATTCCATGTTTGGATAGTGTGTGTTAAGTCACATCCAGCTGCTTCTAGAAATCCCCTGATAAATCCCCTTTTAATTGCATTTGGGAGACCACTCACAAGGCTCCCAAAGATCCACATGGAAACCTGAAAATACAGTCCTGATGAAGGTTGAAATAGCCACATGCCAAAAGCTTGGAGCAGCCTACATCTTACCTGGCATATGCATTTACCAGCTTAATACTTCCCATGAGAAGGGAACGCAGCTATGGCTTGACAGCTACGGTGTTACAGCAAGTATAAATGGTTAGCCCCATCAGCCAGAAGGCTGGGCTCTTCATATGGCAGAGCTGCTCCCTGGCCTGAGGATTTTTCATGTGACTAATAACCAAGCTTTATAACTGTCTCCTGCAGAGTATCATGATGATGAATGAATGAGATCAGATTAGTCAATATGGCTTATTGGTGGAGTTTTGCTCACTTGCTGTGGATGCATCATCACAGTCTTTGCCTGTACAATATGAAATGACAACCAACCTTCAGCTCCTCAGCTTTCTGCTAAGAACTCCCAAGCCTTTTTGGGCCCTTATTTTGCACAGTATCCTTGTCCTGGGCCATCCTGGAAAGTCATTTGGTGAGTACTATATCCTTCCTCACTAAAGAAGAGCATGTTAAGGTGTACCTGTAGAAGTTAAATGAGAAATTGCTGAAAAACATTGACTTATAACACAGTGACTAATAGTGCATTTACTGCTCCTGTCCTCTGCCTGAAAAAATCAGAGTTGCTCCACTAAGTGGCACAGATGCTCTGCAGCTCCACTACCAGCAGTGATCCTCTTTTGGCTGAATGGTATCTCCAGAGCAAAGCATTTCGCAACTCCACTGAGGCTGTTGAGCCCGGGACTCCTGTAGAAACCAGGGATATTTCAAAGTAACTGCAAGCACCATATTCGAAGTGGGTACTCAAAAAGGTGTACTGTATTGCCTGTCTCATCTTTGCATCAAGCAATAGTTTACGCGAGCACAAAAGGGTCTAAGGTTGCATGGTTGGAAACTGCTTTGAAATGAAATCCGAGAGCTTTACCATTCCTTTCCAGCTCTGGCGTGAATTCCCTAGGTGGCCCAAGGCAGTCATCTTCATATCCCTGGGGCTCAGTTTGCCATCTGTAAAACTGGGTTAGCATCTCCTGTTCCTTCTTATACCCTTTTTATCCTTGTCTATATTAACGGCAAATACAGATGGGCTTGTTTGTGTGCAGGTACAGTGCAAAACAGGGGGCACGACCGTGAAAGTGCTGCTCATTTAGGGATGGTCTGCAAGGAAAGATGCGAGCTCGGAGGGGCAGGTGCAGGGCAGGACGCGCGGGTTAAGGGATGCGCACACAAGGAGTGGGGATGCCTGCAGGGAAGGGCACTCTCCTGGCGGGCCGGGCGCTTACGCGCACCCGAGCCAGCCCCGCGCCGCGCTTACCGCATCAGCGCCGAGCCCGGCCCCTCGCGGCGGGGAGGCGGGGGCGGCTCCCCCGTCCGGCCGCAGCGCTGCCCCCGGCCCGGCGCGGCGGCGGGGCTGCGGGGCGGGCTCCCCCCGCGCCCGCCTCCGCCCGCCCCCCGCGCGGGGCTGCAGCGGGCAGCGCGGGGCGCCGCAGCCTGCGGGCGGCCGCCGTGCCCGCCGCCGCCGCCCCGCAGGTGGGGGCGCCGCGCGGGGCCCGGGGTGCCATGGAGGAGCCGCCGCCGCCGCCGCCCGCCTGATCCCCGAGGCCGCCGGCACCGAGACAAAGAGCGGGGCTGCGGCCGCGCCCGCCCGGTGAGTGCCGCGGGGGACCGGGACGGGCGGGGGGCTCCTTCTTGCGCCGCGGCTCTGGAGTAGGTCTCGGTCCCGCTGCCAGCCCAGCCTGACACCCCCGGGCACCCCTTTCTCCGCTCACCCATTCACGCGCGGACACCCTCGTCCGCCACTCCGCCAAGCCCAGCACCTTAAAGCATCCTCGTTCATAGCCCGACTACCCTCAGCCCAGACTGCCCTCCCGGCCCAGACACACGCCGCGCATCCCCAGCAGCCCCGTTCCTTGCCGAACGATTCAGCGCCCACTGCCCGAACCTGCCGGAGGACCCTGAACGCCCCCACGTCACCCCGCACACCCCGTCACCCCACACGCCCCCGCGCACCACAGGGCACAACCCGCGCGTCCCAAAGACTCCGCACCACGCCCCTATGCCCGGCCGCCCAAAACACGGCTCCCCGCCCCGGGCACCCCCGCCCCTGGACACTGTCCGTGCGCGCCCAACACCTGCCGCAGCCTGCCCCCTTCCTGCACAAACACAGCCCCGGCATCCCCGGTGCACACCGACCGCCCGCTCCGCGCCGCTCCTCGCCCCTGCCCCGGGCACACAAAGGGGTCTGCGCGCCCGCTGCCCGCCCGCTCACTCGCCGCCGCTCTCTGCCCCGCAGGCCGAGCCATGGTGGAGCCGCCGGCCGAGCCTCCCCCGCAGCCCTGCCCGGCGCCCGGGGGGGCAGCGGGGGGAGAGCCGGCCCGTCCTGGAGAGCAGTCGCCGCTGCTGCACCTGGACCTGTACAACTTCGACTGCGCGGCGGCGGAGGGCAGCCGGTACGTGCTGACCAGCCCGCGGTCGCTGGAGGCCTGCGCCCGCTGCGCCGTGCGGCCCGTGGAGCTGCTGCCGCGGGCGCTCGGGGACCTGCTGAGAGAGGCGCCCGGGCGCTCCATGCGGGTGGCCGCCGGCCTCTACGAGGCCTACGAGCGGGAGCGCCGCCGCAAGCTGCAGCAGTGCCGGGAGGAGCGGGAGAGGATTATCCGGGAGGAGAAGAGGCGGATCCTCGCGCCCCTCGGCAGCCTGCCGCCTTCGCCCGCCGCCCGCGTCTCCTCCCGGGCTGCGGCCGCAGCTGCCGGCGGGCCCCGGACCCATGGCGGGGGGAGGGCCAGGCCATCGAGGGGTGCCAAGGGCAAGAGCCACTCCCTGGACTCGTTGCAGAAGCGCCGCGAGGGTAGCTGGGGCAAGACCTCCTCTGAGTCGGGTGCTTCGTCGTCCTACAGCGGGGAGAGCCTGCGGGAGCGCGGGGGCAAGGTGTGCGGCCGGGGTCGGGGGGTGGCCGCCAATGGGACTCTGCTGGGGCGCAGTTTCAGCCTGGGCGACCTCAGCCACTCACCGCAGACTGCCCAGAAAGTCGAGAGGATCGTCAGAGAGGTGAAGAGGAAGAAGGGTCTCTCAGAGGTGCCAGAGAGAGACAAGAAGATCGCGGCACTGATGATCGCCAAGCACCAGGAGGCCAGCCTCCTGCGGGAGCAGCGGCAGGCAGCTCACCTGCAGTGGGACAGCCAGCGGCGCCTGGCCGAACAGCGAAAGGAGCGGGAGGAGAAGGAGAAGCAAAGGGCCCTCCTGCAGGGTCAGCGGATGTGGGAGAGCCAGGTGGAGAAGCGTCGAGGGAGACTGAACCAGGAGCAGGAGGAAGCTGCCCTGATGAGGCAGAAGCAACTCCTGGTGTGTGAGGAGAGGTGGCGGGAGCAAGCGGAGAAGCAGGAGCGGCTGCGGAGGGAGAGGCTGGAGCGGGCCATCAAGGAGGACAAGCAGAAAAAGCTCCATCAAGAGCTCAACCTGAAGGCAAAGGAAGAAGTCAAGAAGGAGCACCAGGAGCGAGAGGAGCAGCTCCTGCAAGAGAAGCTGTCCACAGCTGCACAGAAGAGGCTGAAAAAGGAGGTGCAGCTGCAGAAGGAAAAGAGACTGTTCAACCAAGCAGAGAAGCTGAAGCATGAGGCCTTGCTCAAGGAATTGGCCAAACAGGAGGCAGAAGAGAAGGAAATGCTGAAGGCATCCCTGAAGATGAGTTTGACAAAGGCTCAGGAGAACTATGAGCAGCTTGTGGAGAAAAGGAACCAGGAGCTGAGGGAGAAGGCTAGGCGTGAGGACATGCAGATCCAGAGAGCTAAACTGGCAGCAGAGAAGAAAGAAAAAGAGCAGAAGGAGCACTTGGAAGCACTGGCTAGAGAGACAGAGAGAAAGCTCCAGCATGCTGCCCAGGTGGCTGAAGAGGCTGTCCAAGAAAAAGCCCGCAAAGTGGTCTTGAGCCGCCTGGAAAAGGAAAAAGTGCAGAAGATGAACAAGCAAAAGGTGGAACAGTATGAGGACTTACGGCGCAGGGAAATTCTCCTCTCTATAGAGAGGAAGCTGGAGAGAAGTGAGCAGATCTTCAAGGAGAAGAAGACTGTCTTAGAAAATGCCAGATCTGTTGCTCGAGCATCCTTCCATGTCCGGGAAAGGGTGCGGGAGGAGACGAACATGCGCACCTTTGACAAGATGGCCTTTGAAGCAGAACTGCATGCTCAGCTTAGTAAGAAATGAAAGATCTTTTCATGGAGGAGTGAGGATGCACCACTGGTTGTCCATCGTAATGTGACAGAAAGCTCCTCAGCGTGAGTGTTTAAAAAACAAAACCAACATCCACCCTAATTTCGTATTTTGGGGGAGCAGGGTACCGCACAAAAATGTGGCAGCTATTTCACATACTGTTTTAAATACATTTTTAGTTCTGGGTGTGTTTTAAAGACTGACCTCAGTCATCTTTACAGAGAGGATGCAGGTTTTTCTGTCCTCCACTCCACAAGCACATGCATTTTCGTCAGAGAGGGCTGCAAAATCCGCTTGAAGCCTCATAGTTACCAATTTATTATTTACACCGGAGATGACAACTATCGATGCACTCTCCAGCTGGAAATGCAAACAGAGGTTGCTGACTACTAGAGTCTACTGAATAAGAACCAAAACCATCCTAGCTGGTTCTGCCTGGAGTGATGGGCAGTTCGGTTTAAGTTACAAGACTGCATTTTCAAAGCTGCTGCAGTCCCATGCTGAAGGTGAGGAAGGCTGGAGAACAGAATGCCATATACCCTGGGTACCCCTTGGCTGCTGCTAGTACCAAGCTAGGGAAAGCACAGATCAAAGCCGTGTAAGTAGACATCATGATCAGAGCTGGGCGGAAGCTATCTGAAAGTGCTCACAAACACAATTTCGTTTTTGCTGTTTGTAACTGTTACTCCTATCAAGGTATCCTCACCTCTCCAAGTTTCTCTTGCTAACATCTGTAGATGTTCTTTTGGAGGAGGGAGAAAAGGGGACAAATTTATGGACAGTCCACACACTGATGAGCACTCACACAAGCCACTTGTTCATTAAGATATAAAAATGAATGAACCTGTGGAATCTGGACTTTGGGGGAAACACAGAGGTCACTTGTAAATGGAAATCACCACCCTCAGGAATTCTCAAAACTCAAGAAGACCTTCAGTCACCTTATCCAATTTGCCCTATCTTGAGCAGGAGGTTGGACCAGATGTTCTCCAGGGTTCTAACCTTATAGTTCTCATGAGCTGCATACAATGAGACATTCGCCCAGCTCTTATCATCGTCTAGTGAGCAGGGCAGCATTTCTTTCTCACTGGTGCTAAGAGTTGTATTCTTATATAGAGCACAAGAAAGAATAGATGCACAAAATAAGGTATGTTACAGATTCTCTCAGACGAGGATCATGTCTTTTTTATAAGAGTTAATACTATTTAGGGAGAACTGAGTCCTTCTGCAATGAAATACACCAGAAATGTGAAAAGCCTACCTGTGCCCTGTGCACAGCATTCAAGTACAACAGTACTCTGCTCCAGGTTTCCACATTTACTCTTTGTTGAGTTGGAGTTGCAAGCACAATCCAAAGCAGGCACTTTGGTTTTTTTTCTGGCTCTGCGTAGCATCAGCTCTGTGTTCCACCATCCGTGACGCCGTATTGGGTTGCTCTGGTGATAGCAGTCAGACCTGGATCATGGAGGAGAAGCAGCAAGAAAAGACAGGATCTCATTTCTTTGCGGGTTTCTTTCTCTGACGTACAACATAGTAGAAGAGCCAACCAGGAGAGGGTTGACATATGGCACAGGCATGCAGTCTAGCATGCATAGTTTGCTTACTAGAATTTCCCAGGAGGTAACAGCAGGTCAGAGCCCTCCTAAAAGGCTTTAAAGAAGCTGTTAAATTAGCAGTAACAATAGACCAAATACACCTTGGTGCCGTGGAAGGCTAGAGACATTACACAAACAGTGTTGAAAATTAAGAAATAGGATTTTTTTTTAATTTTATTTTTATAGGACTTGATCTTTGAATCAAAGTACGATTGGTGGTGTTGAGGACAGGCAGCATGAAAGTAGGAATTAGGGCACCTGAGCAATGTTTGCTCTGTCAGTCATTGGTTCACTGTGTAATGCCAGGCAAGTCCTTAGAGGCTGGACCTGCTGCTATTGATATAAACGGAAGCGGAGTTGAGCTCTTGGGACTCACAGGAAATAGTAAGACTCTGATTGGCAAAGCACTTCAAAGACTTTGGACAAATGTTGCTTATAAAGTACAAAGTAATATTTATTTATGTATTTATTTATTTATTTATTTATTTATTTATTTATTTATTTATTTGAGTGATTATTAAAGTAAAACATCCCTTGGTGAAAAACATTAACACCCAAATCTGGTAACTGTGGAAAGGATAGCTGCATTAGTGTTTCCAGCAGGGAGGCTGTTCCCTCACCCTCATCCTCAAAGCAGCAACTAGAACAGTGAAACAAATGCTGCTCTAACACTGGACAAGGTCCTTTAAAAAACACAGACTTCTCCACATGTTGTCCATGCCACAGTGATTTATGTGTGCCCTTGTAGCTCATAATTGCATGCAAAGACCTAGGAAAGAGATGGCCAGTGGCCCAAATCCAGCCACTGCAAAAGTGCCCTTGCTTCCCGATAGCACTAGAGTTGGGATAAAACCTGCAGTGAGTCCAGTATAGCCAATGTTTCATCTAGTTTGTAGCCTTTGGGGCTGCAGAGCAAGCCTGCCAGCATGTATATGAGGGGTTTTGCTTCCTGTATTGTTGCACTGGGGTTGAAATTCGCTGCTTGGTTCATTTAACAGAGGGAAAATGGGGAGAGCTGGGAAACAGTGGAAAGAAGGCAAATGGTGATGGGTGAATGAGCAGGCAGCCTCTAACTGGAGGAGCATGTTTTCCCTAAAGCTCTACTGCGACCTACCTGAAAACTGTCCAAACCTCCCTCTGACAAGGGCATTTCCAGACGGAGAACATTCTGCAGCCCAGGAGACATGTCTTGGCCACTGACTGTAATTACATCTGGGGTCCATCTCTTGCTGCTGACTGAGTTTGACACCTTGGAGCTACAGCTGAACTAATCAACACAGACCAACATGAAGGTAATTGGATTGGCGAACGAGTGTTCCTATACTGTGCAGTGTACAGATCAAGTTTTGAATGTGAAATCTAAGAAAAAATATTTTTTTTTCAAAAGACACTAATCTGTGTATGGATATTTTTCATTTCTGTAGTGGTTTAAGTTCAAAGTTCATGAAATTCAGTGAGTTTTATGAGTTTAAAATCGCATGGAAAATTTAAGTCAGTATGGATGGAGGCATGAGAGGTATTTCTTCGGTCTGCTTATGCTTCTGTTTATTTGAGAAGAAATTCTACTGCTGGATTTCTTTAGGAACAGAAGTTAAACCCTGGGTCACATGTAAAAAGTATGGCCCTTGTAGATGGGGTTTATTTGATATTTTTGCAATTGAGCTGTAGTTTAGGGAGAACTAAAAAAGAAATCAACATGGAGAGGAAGCACTGACTAAGGAACAGTTTCTGTTGGCTGAACTCTGGAGGAATTTTGGAACACAATGGAACACATTTTGTATGTTCAGGAACTCTTGTTCATGTGGATTGTCTAGTCTTTAATGGCATCTGGGTTGAAACTGGAGCCCTTCAGTGCCAGAGAGTGTGCCAACAATCTTACCTGTGTGCTTCCTCTTCACGCAAAATTCATCCAAAAGCTCATTCTCTGTGTCAAGGTTGAATTTGGCAGATAATGTCTAAAAGCTGTTAGGAGGAGCAGCTGCACCATCGCTAGTTAATATTTTACAAGGTAAATTTTAAGCCAGTTTATAATAAGTTCTTTCTCCACCTGAATAAGAAAGATGTGAAGATTAGATTTCTTGCCTTGTTTACCTACTGTTTTCCTCTTAGGATGCTTATGGAGCTCCAGACTCATTCTGTGCAAAAATTTCTCCTGGTGACAGGGGAATTCTATTTGCTAAACAAATGCTAAACAAATATGCAGTGCTCACAGGTTTGAGAGGGGACTTGGTTAAAGACATCTACATGTCTTTATTAAGCCAAGGCTGGAGAGGGAGGCATGAGAAACAGAATTTGCAATACATAGCCCAGTTTATTACAGCCTACCTGAGGATGGCTTCTCATTGCTGCAGTTGTTGCATCAAAGAAAGACTTGCTTTCAGCTGTGGGTGTTCTTCTGCTGGCAAAGACAAAAATGTAGTAGTTGAAATGCCATTTCAAACATTTTTTTTTTTTGGGGGGGGGGGGGGGGGTTTGGTCTTATTGGGGTTTTTAAAGAAGATACAGGGAGATGTAAGGATGAGATACAAAGCTAGTTAGATGCAGCACATCACAGATGGTAATTGGTGTCTTCACACATAGTTCTGCTCTGTGGACTTGAGACTGTGCTGTTGTTTAGCAGAGCAGCCACTACATCCAGGAGAGCAGAGGTGCTCTGGGAGGTGCTCAGTAATCTGTTCTCAGATCACACAGGTGCCCTTCAAACAATCCAGTGTAAGCTTTGTTTTGCTGAGTCAAGCTCCAAGGGAATATCGTTTGTTAGGACTAGACTTAGCCTGCATAGTTGTAAAAGAAGGCTGTCATAGGCAAAGAAGAGGAAGACCCTGGCTCAGCCCAGTCCTTCTGGAAATCAACCCCGAGACACCTACTGAGCAGCGCAGTACAGGGGTGTTGCAGTGGGAGCTGACAGAGCTCTAATACAACTGCCTGGGGGAGTGCAGCCCCACAAGTCCTTGGCAAGCAAGTACCACCCACTCTGAAGAGCCAGTACAGAGGGATGATAAGAAAATCATAATGCTTCTGGCTTCTAGGCAGACAGCAGCTCTTCCCTCCTTTTTGTGAGATATTACTAGGTGATGGTTAGAAGAGAAAACACTGGGAACAAGGAAAAAAAAAAGCAAAACTCTTCCAACACAAGATACCTGGAAAGAGATTCTCCATTCACAGAGAACATCCAGGACTCTGGGGAGGCCAGTCTTCAGAGCCTTCATAATGGAATATGCCCCACATCCCACATACCTCTTAACACTAGGACATGAAAAAAATTCAGTTGTAGGTCTGACTTCTTTATCCTTAGCCCATTCTTTGGGCATGAATCTTTACTGTGAAACATTGCCTTGTTATTGTAAGATTTTAGTCTGAAAGGACCCAAGTCTTTCTCTGATAACTTTGCACTCATCTCCTACCTCCCTACCATTCAGCAAGGAATCCTCTGCATTGCAAAACCACTCTGGCAGTAAGAATCATCCTGTGTTACAAAACCAAACTGCCAGTCCTATTTAATTCTTTTGTGCTTTATGCAGCTCCCTGCATCTAATCTCAGGACCTGGCTGTGAGGTAAACTTGTTGTCGCCCCCAGCCTAAGTACAAGCAAACTGAAGCAGAAAGAACTGATGTGATTTGCCCCAGGCCATGTTGGCCTCCCTGATCTAGCTGGAGCTCTCACTCATGTCCTCCCTAATCCCCATGCAGTCCTCTAATTAACCTCTCCTGGTTGCAGTGGGGTGATATCCCTGTGTCCCTGCTGTGGCAGCTTCCCCGACTCCTGATCTGCAGCTGGTGCTTCATGGCGGATGAAGCTTTTAAACCACCCGCCACCACTTCTGGGCATTGTCTCCAAACCTGAAACACTTTTAAATGAGGGTCCTGAAGGTTTGATAATGCTGCACAGGGAGGCCAGGACAGGGGCAGGGTAAGAGGAAGGTGCATTAGCAGAAAGGGGCAGGAGCTACAGCTGGAAATGTTAAATGAGTGAGTAAACATGGACTGAGTATCTTTATACCATCCTGGCTATCTGGAATCACTTGGATATCTATGTGACAGCATACAATAACACTTTCTTTCAGCACATTAAACTTACAGGGCCCAGTTCATCCCATTAGTTACCTTTCTAGAGCCAGCAGAGTTATTCCAGGAGTGAATACAGTCTAGATATATTAAACTTTTCATTATTTATGTAAATCACATTGGCTTGGCAGAGCTTATGCTTTCAAAAGCTCGGTGGAAATTTCCTCCTGCCTGAGCAGTACCCAGGCAATGGGATGGGAGGGTCACATAGCAGCTGATATTTTTAGACTGGGTGACAAATTTGTCAATACCCTGGTGCTGGACACTGTGTTCCTGTGTGTTTACAAAGCAGCGTCTGCTGAAGCAGCTCAGTGCAGCTGAGAGGAAGAGCAGCTGGCACAGAAGTACCTTGTCAGACAATAAATTAAACAGTTGGGAGTAAGAGATTTGGCTTTTTGTCTGTTGGACACTACTGGGAATGTTTTGGTTTGTAGGAGGGTGATGTGATAATTTCATCTCTCTTTTAATCACCTCCAAAGTAAGCTGTGCTATTTTTGACAATTGTTTAATGATTTATAAGAGGCAGGAAAATAAATGAGGAAGGGAGCACAAAACACAGATGTGTAGGTAAAGCTGAAAGCCATTTTTCTTTCCCTCCTGAAAAAAGCCATATTATCCCTGCAGGTGAAGGTTTTGTTAAGTGCTGCATTGCATGCAATTTCTTAGACCCTAGGAGGGAACCACTCTGTTCACAAGCTTTGCTACTTATACACCTGTCTCCTGTACATGCTGACAAGACAGGCTTCATGTTTACCTCCCAGCAACAGCTATTTCTTCAGATTTCAAGGGAGAGGTGAGATCCTTGAGCAGGCACCATTTTCACTATAGAGGGACCACTACACAGCCATCCTGGGTGGACTCGGTCCACATCTGACATGAACCCTGATGGAAGAATGGTACTTTGTTCTCATCAGGGAGTTTCAGCAGCCCTCATCCAGTCTAGGAGCCTCTGCACCATTTTCAGCTTCCACCTGAAGCTGTCAAGATGTCCTTGTGTCCCAGTTTGATCTTGAGGCTCCTGCTCCCCTTGCCTGCAGCTAGGTAGCTGGGGAGCTGACCATAGGGTATAGCCAAATCTCCACTTATCTGCAGAGGCTTCAAGAAAACTAAATTGCCCTGTTATTTCTTAAACTGGGGCATGTCTCTGCAGAAGTCCTTGTCTGTCCAAACAAGGACTGTCTGAATCTGGGCTTTAGGTGGAGTAGATTGAAAACCTACAGAACTGGGGTGTTGTGGCACAGCAAAAGGGTGCTACTGTTTTATTTTTAATTATCAAACACCGCTGCTAATTTACTTCACCTGCATTGCTTTCCCAGACATTACCATGAATGGGGCAAGCATTAATAGCCCCAGTGGAAGTGCTTAGCTGTTGCCCTCCCCACTTAGACCAATGCTTGGCATGGGAAACAGTGTCCCTTCTTGCCTGAGAGGGAAGCTTTCCTTTCTGCAATCATCATCGCATCATACAGAGGTGCTCTGGGGCAGGCTGGCATCCTAAGGTACATCCATCCTGTCACCAGCTTCTCCTTATGACCTGGACTCTGCTGGTAAATTCATACCTAGCTCATAAAGATCTGCAAGACCTGTCATGACAGGGATTTCAGGTATGTTGTTACAGCTATACGTCATGATGTTGCTTTTTCTGTTATCAGTTTCACCTACTGCTGCTCAGGAGAAAGTAAAGCCAGGGAGGATTGTTTCAGTAAACAAGAGTTGACCTGCCTGCTCTCTGAAAATGGTATGCAGGTAGGCAAGCTGAGAGCTTCAGGGCTTTATGAAACACTAGAACACCTGGCATCTTAGGTTAGCTGTAGACATACACCATGTCCCTTTTCATGGTAGCTGCCACTCCAGCTTACATCTCTTGGATGCTGTGAGTCCTAATATTTTCCAGGCAGAAGCCATTCTGTCTTGTAACAGACGTTTTCCGTGATTCCTGCAATTTTTAAAAAAACTGTACAATCTGTTTGCAGAATCAGGTATTTAAATGCATTTTACTTACGGTTCCAGCAAAAAAAAAAATGGTACAAGTAGAGATTCCTGAAGGCAATGATGTTTACACCCAGAGCTGCTGTCCTCTCTAAGTGTCTCTGATCAGACTGCACTCTGCTACTGCAGAGACTTCTTGCAGCTCCTGCTGTCTCTGGGAAGCTGCAGATCCCTCCCTGCAAAGACACTGTACCATAACATAGCTGCCACGTGATTCAGTCACAGCCTGAGAGTCCCCAAATGCACAGAAAAGTTGCTGTAAGCTATCAGGGGAGTTTCTGCAGAGTCTCCTGGAACCCACGGGGCCCTTCCCATGCATCCTGACGCCAGGGCTGT